TTCCAACCACTGTTTCTTTGCATTCCAATCACCAGTAATTATCAATACATCTTAATTGCATGTTTGATCAATTTCAGACTGAAGAAGTTGATAGGATTTTTCAATTTCATCATTACTGCCTCTAGTGGTCAGTGTGTAAATTTAAATAATAGTGGCATTAACTGGTCTTCCTTGTAAGAATATGGATCATATCCTATCACACACAGTGTTGTATATTAAGGCAGATCTTCATAGGTTGTTTTTGATGACGAATGTGATGCCAGTACTCTTCAATTTGTCTTTCCCTGTGCAGTAAACTATGTGACTCTCAGATTCAAAATGGCCAATACCAGTCCATTTCAGTTCCTTAATGACTAGGATATTAATGTTCATGCATTCTGTGTCATTTTTGACAATTTCCAATTTTTCTTGATTTAATTTTCGTACATCCCATGTTCTGAGTCTTAATGGATGTTTACAGCTGTTTCTCTTCCTTTCAAGTTGACACCCCTCAGGAAATTAAGGTCCTGAGAACTTTACTACATTTAGGTCATCATGGTCAATTTTACTTGAGGAGGCAGCACTTCCTCAACCATATTTGATTATCTTCCCACTTCAGGGGCTCATCTTCTGGCATTGTATCTGACAATATATGGTGCTTCTCATAATGTTTTAATACTCAATATTCTGGTGCTATCTGACAGCGTTCCTCTGTTCATAATGTTTTCAGTGATTAAATATGCAGTAGTCTGTTCCTCCTTCTTCCTAGTCTATCTTTGTCTGGAAGCTCAGCTGAAACCTGTCCACTGGTGGACAATCCTGCTTGTATTTAAAATAACGGTGGCACAGCTTCCAGAATCAGAATAATATCTAAGCCACCACCGTATGACAAAATGACTGACAAGTGGTGGATCAATATATTTGTTGTTGTTATTATGTGCCGTGGATTTGGTTCTGACTTATAGCAACCCTGTAGAGGGTTTCCGAGGCTGTAAATCTTTACAGGAGCAGAAAGCCTCCTCTTTCTCCTGTGGGGCAGCTGGTAGTTTTGAACTACTGAACTTGCAGTTCGCAGCCCGATTCGTAACCACTAAGTGACCAGAGCTCCTATTAGCAAGTGTGAAATTAAAACTTGAAAATGTAATACATATGGATGAAAAATATATTGAGTAAAGCTAAGAAGAGTGCTGAAGAAGATAATTTTTTTTT